ACACACTACTTTTAAAGGAGGCAACCATTTCTCAGTTCTATAGAATTATTTCCTCATGGCAGCAGGCTCAGAGCTGCTAGTCTTTTGTTTCTTTTTTTAAGAGAATCTGAAATTCCAGGAATTTATGTAAAGTATCCTATTTTTTTCATGTTCACAATGTTCAATTAAATAAAATTCCATGTGAGTAAAATTAAGCTTATTTAATGGCCACAAACTGGATCTTCAGTTTGTAACCTCTGTAACATGGTCCAGTTAAGAAAAGGCATGTAAACATGAGCTTGCATATATTAATTCATTTAATCATATCAATTCTTAAACAAAAGATTTCCTCCAAGAGACAATAGTTCACAGTAACTGCAAAGCTTACTCACAATTTTTAAAAATATCGGTCATGCTTAGCATTCAAAGAAGATATTATAGAATAACTGTAAAAACTTTTACCAGGAACATCAGCTTCTGACTTGAAAAATTACAAATACTGAAGCATTTTGGTATCAGACACAGTAGTTTTGACATTGTCTGTTCATTTGATGAGTTTCTGGAAGTTTGGAAAATTGTACCTCTATAATTGGATAATGCGCTTATTCTAAACTAAACATTTTCAAATGTAGAAAACAAACTAGCAAGCTACGCATACAAAGAAAAGCCCTCTAAGACAAGCTCTCCACATGTTGAATGCCAGCATGTGCGCCGTGAATTCTGGAAGACTAGAATTGATACATACACTTGGCCTGAAGTCTTATACCCCAGGCTCAGTGAATGGGGTTTGCATTCACCTACACATTAATGACAAACTCTGGGTTAGTATAAGAGAAGCCAGCAAATTCATTTTGGTCCAAGTTCATGATGAAGAGTTTATCAGTGGGAGTCAGTTCCACAGGCTGTCTGGTGAACTCTTTGTCGAAGTTGGAGGTGTCTCTCTTGTCTCTCTGCCAAATGGAAAGTAAACACATTAACACAGCATAAGAAGGAGACAGGACCATGACACGCCAGTCATCGGGTGGCTGATGCCGTCTCATGAGCAGAGTCAGAAAGAGCCCTGTGCTGAAAATTTTTAGCAGCTGCAAGTACTAGCTTTCATTTCACATTGTATATTGGCTTGGGGATAGAAACATGGCAGAAATTTTCTAAGAAAAGAAATAAGTCATGGAATTTCTTTAAGAATTGCCATAAAGTGGTGTGTGTGTGGTGTTGTATTTTCTTTGGCTTTAGGAAGAATTGAATTGGAAGCTACTTATTACCATGCTTAATGTTGTAGAAATAATCATTAGGTAGAATGTCCTGGAGAAAACCATTCAGTAGTGACCCAGGTGGCCAGGTGACCTCTTACTTTGAAGAGGTGAACTGCGGCCCATCTACTCTGCCCCCAAGAAGGCAGAATGGCCATGTGGAGAAATCAGATCACTGCTTATGAAAGGAATTGACCACTGTCAGCTCAAAAATCCACCCATAGACTAGAATTGGGCCTTTGTCAGGCAGAAATTCTCTCCAAAGACATTTATAGCAAGTATCTAGTCAACAAACTATAGGAGACAAAATCTAAATCTTAAAGGAAGGTGCATAAGGGCAGCCTTAAAACAAAACAAAAACAAAAAACAAACTCAAAGCAACTTGATTATCCTAGTGAGTCTGGCATTTCATTTTTTTTTTTTTTTCAGTAGGGAAAGAAATTAACCCCCCATTTACTAGCAATTTTTTGGGGCAAGTCTTACCAGGGAACATCAGAACATGGGCTAATAAAGGAATCTGTATGATGCTCAGACCTCTTCAGGGTCCTTGCAAGCCTCTCGCCTTTCCCCATAATCCCCACACCCACCTGGGGGCAGGTAGAGCTGGAGTCCTCACCTCCTATATTTGACACATGAGACAACTGAGGCACAAGCAGGCAGGAGGACTTGCCCAAGACTGCAGTGAGTTTCTGATTTTTACCTGACCACATCGCTGCTACATAGGCCTCATCTCAGTCTCTTGGACTGGGGAGATAACCCAATGGCTGTTTTACTACAGGACAACCAAGGAAGAACACCTTGGATTCGCTGGTACCCTGCACATTCCCAAGCTGCTGCTAAAGTTGTGTCAGATTATAAAGGCCAGGGAGTCGGTACGGATTGACTGACTCATTAGCGTTTGAGCCATCACCAGCCAGGCTTCAGGTTTAGCCCCCTAATGGGCACTGGCTGCTAAGGAACCTCATTGTTGGGTTCAATCCCCTTTGTAAAACGCCTTTTACAAGACTTGATTCTTTGTGGCTGCTCCCCTGAGATAGGTAAAATGTCTCCATGGAGTTCTCTCCTTACTCTTGCCGTGTCTGTGTGGGAGTGTGGGAGTGAGGCAGACACACTGGTCTCAGGAATACACATGGTCAGAGTGGAGCAGGCTAAGATGCTGACGGAGCTGTTTCCTGGCTGGGGCCCATCCCTGCCACATCCCACCTGCCCTGTTTGTCGTATTCTGCCTGCTGTTAGCCTGTGGGTGCTACAGGAGTTTCCATTCCCCAGGCGCTCAGTGTGTCACTTCTGGTGTTCACAGCAAGGCTCAACTGCCTCCTCTTCCTTTAATATTATCTGTGCCTCTCTCTCCCCATCCCCACAAGTCACACTTTGGCATCCTTTAATTATCCTGACTGCTTTAGAAATTGCCTTATTTATTGTTTCTCTCCAAAAAACAATATTATTCTTGGAGAATTTCTTGGAGAGAAACAATAAACAGGGTCCTTGTCCACTTCTTCACTAGCGTATTTCCAGTGCCAAGAATAATACCCGGCACACAGTAGGCTGTTGTAATTATTAGTGGAATGAAGGAAGACTTGATTAATGATACGCCTCTATACTTTCTGCAACCTGTAATTACCCCCGAGCCAGAGACTTTACTCTGAGGCAAAACGATGGAATTTATTCCCATTGATCCTAAAGGTCTCCCAAATGGGCCACTGTCCCTTTTGAACCTCTGTATAAACTGAACTGTATTAGGGCCCTTAAAGGTCTGAGAGCTCCAGGACAGTGTGTGGGCCAAAAGGCAGGTATATTTGCAGCTAGACAACGCACAGCTGCGTTTTTATTATGTCTTCCTGGTCTCATCAACACTACTTCACTTTCCCTGCCTGTGGGCATCTTAGCAAAGATTCCCTTCTGGCCAGCCCCAACTTGGAAAGCCCTCCCCTCTGTTATGCTGCTGATGGCTAATGCTTCAGATGACCACATGGTATAGACAGGACTTGCCTTTATGGGCTTTGTCCTGTGGGCAGATCCCCAGATAAAATGCTCCTGGATTTTACCATAGAAGTTGAAGGAGAATGAGCCTCTCTGTTGAGATCATTTCTTTGAGGTGGATAGCATCTGAAGCCACATGAGAACAGTAGCACTCGTCCAAGGAGGGTTATTAATTCTACTAACCTCCTGTTAATCCCCCAAGAAGGCCCTTGTGGATATGGCCCCGTCCTTTCTTAAAAAAGCTCTGTTTCTCAGTTTCTTCTGCATTGGAAGTGTGGATAGGAAAGGACGTGGTAGAAATTCTGACTTTCATCAGAAGATTTCTCTAACCAACCCTCAGGACGGTGTGCTAGGGGAAAAGAGACTTTGGCTTGAGTATTTCTGCAAACTATTAAACTTTTGAAAAATAATGGCAAGAATTTGGAAAATGTAGGGTGCAGTGTATATAGATACACACTACCTACCTTCTTTCCTTCCCTCTTTTCTTTCTTTCTCTTTTTCCTTCCTTCTTTCTTTCCTTCCTTTCTTTTTCTTCCTCCCTCCCTCCCTTCCTTCTCTTTCCATTCTTTCTTTTTTCTTTCTTTAATTTTCTTTCTTTCTCTCTTTCTCTCTCTCTTTCTTTCTTTCTCTTTCTTTCTTTCTCTCTTTCTTTCTTTCTTTCTTTCTTTCGTTCTTTCTTTCTTTCTTTCTCTTTCCATCTATCCTACATTGTTTTCTAAAGTTGTCTTGGATCATTCATCAATGGCCTAGTGTTTCTCCATGGTTTTTGTCTTCCTGAGAGTATGTCCAAGCAAAATGAGATCATGACCCAACAACCAGATGAGGGACCTCACATCTTGCCTGTCTGTGGGCCTCGTTCAGGGATGCCTGTTGCCTTGTTACAGAGCAGAAACTGTCCTGCACTGAGGATCAGGACATCCAGGTTTTTATCGCAGCTGATTGAACTTGGGCAAGTTCCTTCCTCTCTCCAGATGCCAGTTTCTCAACAATAAAGTGAGGGGGCTTTGCTCTGATTTCCCTCCTTCTCTAACTGCCTAAACTTGTCCACTAGAACTTCAAGTTTGCTTCATCTTAGGTCCCAATTGCCACCACAATGGGCACAGCAGGGACGGTCCCCAAGCCTGAAGCAAGAGGACACACAAGGATGAGCCGCAGGAGACTTTGGCTAAACAGAAATCCAAACCCCACTTTCCTTAAAGATGAGACATCTTACTTCAAGGACGTTTGTCAAGTCATTAAAGTTCTCTTGATGGTCTCTCAGAAGCCCTGAAACTTCTGGAAATCACTTGGACTGTGATAAGAATTCTCTTTAGAGCTGCCTGAGAATAGCAGGACACAGCAGGCAAGGAGGAGGAGTCACCTGCTGTCTTAATCCGCTCAGGCAGAAATGAAATTTCTCCCACCCAAGGGTTTCCTTGGACTTCAGTGAGCTCACAAATCTGCTTGCTAGAAAGAATATTTAGTCCAAGCTGGGAAGAGTGGTGATTTCAATAAGAAAATTAAGAGCCCTGTTCACATTCCCAGCTGGTCTCTAAACTTGACTTTGGGCTCCAATATCCTTGGTGGCTCTGGCCAGGTCATCCCACCCCACTACTGGCCACCAGCAGTCCCTGAATGGACCACAGTCCCCGCCTTTCTGAGTGGCTGAACACTGGGGCCAAGATTAAAGCTCCACAGTTAGTTCCTTTCTCCTGAGTTCCCGTCTCAGTTCCCACTTTGTAGTTTAGGTTCATGTTTTTCAAAAAGATCAGTGTTCCTTGAAATATTATTTCTTCTTCTTTTTTTTTTTTAATTGTATCTTGATGCTAGAAGAAAAATGGCACATAACAGAGATCCAGATCCAAATGAACATTTCTACATACATCTTGCAAAACAACATCAAAGTGAGGAATACAACCATCTTTGTTTCAAGAAACGGTGTCTTTTTCAGAGCACGTAATTAGCTTTCTAAAGCCAGCCACAAACCTAGACAAATCCCATTCCTACAGACAGGAGTCTGCTATGCTCCACAGCCATCTTCTTGGGTAAATCAAAGCAGGTCGTCATTGTGGTTAATAACATTTGAACACATATTTTAAAGCATGTGTAACAATGTGAGTCACCTTTGTTTTTTTGTTTTGTTTTGTTTTCTTGTTTTTTTTTTTTTTTTTTTTTTTTTTTGAACAACAACAGAAACAAAACCCCAAAGCAAATAAAGTTTGAAATGTAATGTAAAACCAGGGCCCTCTGGGGGGCTTGCTAGAGTGACTGTTGTTTCAGGGAGTGGTGCCAAATGCCCTTTTCAAGTAGTTTAGGGATGAGAGTGATCAAAGACATAAAGTATCAGAAACTACAACATTGAGGTAGCACCCACACTGGTTGCCCTTTGACCCCTTGAAGTGCTTTTAGATTGAGACCCTCTAAAAGCACATTCTTGGAATTTTAGAAGAACTTCGATCATCTTAACTTTGAGTTAAAAAAAAAAAACAGACAAATAACATTTTATTTTGAGCATGTTCTTTTCAAGGTCTGGTGCCTCCAGAACAGGTGAAATAGAGGGATTCCTCTTAGGCAAAGCAACCATACACTTGGATACAAGCCAAGCTCCAGGCCCGGAAGTAGAAGAGTACTGCTAACATCCAATTATCCACAGATTGGATGGTTGGGGGTGAATATGGCAGTGCAGAAAAAGAGGGAGAGAAAGCAGGCATTTTCTCTCCCCATTGGGTCTACTTAGCTGACATGCTGCGGAAAATAAATTGTAAAAGGACTTTGATAATGTGTTAATTATGCAGCTGCATTTTCCATAGGCCATCTGCATAATCCCATCTCACAGAGATGCTTCCAAACTACCTGAGGACATTTGGGTTCTGAAACACCGTCACTCTAGTCTCGTCAGAAAACCAAACATGGATGCAACTTGGCAATGAAAAACATAAAAATGTCACCACAATAGGCGTTGAGCTTGAATGACAGAAATGAAGGACGGAGATCTACACATCTACTTAGCTCTTGACTTCGGGTTTTAAAAATTCAGAGTTAACAAAGGAAAATCCTTCGAATTCTGATTGGTCAATATTCCTGATGACTTCCTGGTCGGGAGGTGTTAGGACTGGTGGATGGCGGGTGAAAAATCGGTCGAAGTTTTCAGCATTTCGCCCACACTATGAGAGGGGAAGAAAAGAACTTGTGGTGGGTGGGAAAAAAAACAAAAACAAAGCCAAAATAAAACAGAACCTAGCATAACTGGGTGTGCTTTTCTCCAGTCCCCTCCCTTTCAGAAACTCAGAGAGGTTGTTTCAATGATCAGAAATGAGAGCAACATAAAATGCAAAATTCTCATGACCTTGGGTGCACGAGCTTGGATTCCCAACCTTCAGTTTTTTTTTTTTTTTTAGCTCATAAGCTGCTCCTGGTGTCCTCTGGGCAGTCAGGAGATGGATGGCAAAGGCATGAGATGGTGGGGCCAGAGGCATGTGGCATGTTCCCTCAACCCACCCCGAGGAGTCAGCCAAGCTCATCTGTTGGAAAACATAGGATTAAGGCACCTGAGATGTTTCAGGTGGTGCAAGATGCAAAGTAATGATCCATTTATACCTCACCTGGGAGATCCCAATATTTATAGCAGCAGACCCTTCAAAGTGCTGTCCTCCAGCTCTTAATCAGGAGAGTGGATGTTTTCCAACTCAACAGAATACAATTTATAAACTCCATCCCAACTGAAGATCTGGGTTTGATGCTTGCAATGCCTGGGCAACCACGAGGCCCCTGGTTAGCTGGATCAGTCATTGACCATTAAGTACAAAGTGCCAGGAGGTAAATTCAGCCATTCCCTCTTCAAACAGGAAGGAGGGATATGGGAGGAAATACAAACCATTGTTTGGTGAAGCAATCGGGTTCTAGAGAGAAAATCATTGCCATTTCTCACCCATCCTGCTGGTCTTTCTATAGCAAAAAGACCCCTATAGACGCCTATCTGAGCCAGAATTATAACATATATGTGTATGTACATGTGTGTGCCTGGTGCCTGCATGCATGAGTGCCTACACATGTACATGCTAATTCCCACCTTATGAGAAGGGGCAAATCACTAAATCTGGTGTTCCTTGTTCTTGGCCAGCAAAACCCATTTGCACAAAAGCTCCACGTGTTTCAAACACTGTGTCTATAGGAGGTAACCACAAGCTAATAGTATAATAGTAATAGGAGTAGTAATAATGCTGACTGCTGATATTTATTATGCACTTGCTATATGCCAGGACAAAATTGCCCTTTACTGGAAAGTTATTTATTTGCATTATCTTATTTAATCTTCCCAATGGCCCTATGAAGTGGGTATTGGTATCATCTCCATTTTATAGATGAGGGAACTGAGGCCAAGGAGATTATGTAATTTCTTCAAGGTCACAGAGCAAACCAATAGCAGAGCTGCATAATGAACCAGGTCCATCTGACATCAGAGTCCAAGTTCCTGTCTCCATTTTTACAAGCACAGTGGACAGCCTGGTGGCTCACTGACTAATGGAGTGGGAAAGGGGCCACCAGGAAGACAAAGATGGGGATATGAATTCTCTCTTTTTTGAATGACAGAGACTGTGGTTGTATGAACTGAGACAGAGAAAGCGGGAGAACTGAGAAAGATGATTAATTCCATTTTGGACAATGACTTTGAGGGGCTAGTGAAAGTCCAGGTGATGACTGGAGGGAATCAGAAGCATAGGTTCTGGGCTGGAGGTGGTACTTCACAACTGTAATCCCAGCACTTTGGGAGGCCAAAGTGGGCAGATCACCTGAGGTCATGAGTTCAAGACCAGCCTGACCAACATAGCAAAATCCCATCTTTAAAAAATTAGCTGGGTGTGGTGGTGCATGCCTGCAGTCTCAGCTACTCAGGAAACTGAGGTGACAGAATTGCTTGAGCCTGGGAGGTGGAGGTTGCAGTGAGCAGAGATTGTACCACTGTACTCCAGCCTGGGCAACAGAATGAGACCTCAACAAAAACAAACAAAAAAAAAACAACACACAGGTTCAGCAACTCAGGAGAGAGGCCTTGAAAAACCATTTTTTAAAGCACAGAATATGGGGAGTAGAAAAAGACAACAAGAGTAATAAAAACCAGTGAGCACTTTCAATGCAACAGGCATTTGCCAAGAGCTTCTGCATACATGACCTTTTTAATTCATGTGACAACTCTGTGAAATCGGTATTTTACTTCCATTTGCCCATGATAAAAATACCCCTTCAAGTGTCTTAGGAGAGCAGGAGAAGAACCAGGAAAGAATAGTATCAGACAAGCTAAGGACTGAGAGGACTCCCAGGAGAAGCGCATTGGGATAAGTAAAATATCTTTAAGAGGTCAAATAGGAGAGTTGCAGACAATGGCTTACTGCAGTTGGCAACTGGGGTGATACTGATGAGAAATGGAGGGCTGCCCCTGAACATCAGCCACTGGAAGAGTGAAGGTACATTGAGAAAGTGAAGAGGGGCAGGCTCATCTTCAAAGCCTTTTTGTTTGCAAGGGAAGCAAAAGTATTTGATGCGCATGCGAGAGACTTAGGTCTCTAAGAGCTTCTGCTTTCTGCTCACTCCTTAAGCCCAGAGTCTGTAGACTGAATTCAAATCCTGGCATTATGCTGCCCACTATCTGTGCAACTCTGGGCAACTTACTGCAAGTCTCAGTTTCCCCTTTTGTAAAACAAGAGCAATTCTAACTCCTATCGCATTGGGGTTGTGATATGAACATAAAATGAGAGAACGCAAGCAACAGGCATTGAGTATATGCTCAATGCATCATAGCGCCAAGTATTATTTAGTTCCCGTTTGGTAGTTCCCGTTTCTACTCCAAATCCCTACAGACAGACAGCATATGTTTCCTATAATAGGGCATTTTCATGGTCTTTAAGTTTTAAATACTAAGGAAACAGTCTTGAATTTTTAAAAAGACTCTTCTCAGACTTAAGAAAACCTATTTGTTATTCCAAGCTCAATTGTTTCTGCTGATTGTTGTCTTTGGCTTCAGGTCTCAGAAAATGAGAACTCTCTGAAACAGTATCAAGACTTGAGGTCCGTTCTGCCGGCCAGTGGAGGGAAACTCCCACAGAAGGATGACCCTTTAGGGTAAACTCAGTGTGGTTAGGCTTATTGTCCAGATTCATTCATTTGTTTATTCATTTTCTCATTCAAGATGGATTTATTGAGTACCTACTATGTGCCTGGCTCTGTGCTAGCAGAAAATGATATAAAATCCATGCTTCATGGAACTTACATTCTACTGGGGAAGGCAGACAACAAACAAACAAGAATGTAACTGTAAATGTAAATATACATTTTAGTGCCAGATAGAGATAAATGATGTTAAGAAAAATAAAGCCAAGGCCAGGCGGGGAGGCTCACAACTGTAATCCCAGCACTTTGAAGGCCAAGGCTGGTGGATCACAAGCTCAGTTCAAGACCAGCCTGGGCAACATAGTGAAACCCCGTCTCTACCAAAAATACAAATATTAGCTGGGTGTAGTGGTACACACCTGTGGTCCCAGCTACTCAGGAGGCTGCAGTGGGGGAATCGCTTGAGCCCAGGAGGCAGAGGTTGCAGCCTGGGCGACAGAGTGATATCCAGTCTCAAAAAACAAAACAAAAAAAAAGAAAAGAAAAGAAAACAGAAAAAGAAAGCCAGGACAGGGGGTGGAGCGAGAGTGATGCCATTTTCAGCTTGGAGGAAATGGCCTTTGAGCAAGATCTCAGTGGAGTGAGAGAGGGTACCCTTTGGATGTCAGGAGGGAAGGTATTCCAGGCAGAGGGAACCACAAGCTCAAAGGCCCCAAGACGGAGCTCACCTGGCAGAGTCCCCAGGCAGCAATGAGGTCAGAATGGCCAGAGCAGAGTGACCAAGGGGTAAGAGTGGGCCAGGAGCCAGAGCAGGGTTCCTTGATGGCCATGTAAGGACAGTGGATTTTCATCTCAGCTCGATGAGAAACTGCTGGAAAATGTTGAGCACTGAATGATATGATGACTTATGTTTTGTTTTTATAGTATTTCTTTTTTTTTTTTTTTAAGAGATATGGTCTTGCTCTGTTGCTCAAGCTTGAGTCAGAGGCATGATCATAACTCACTGCAGCCTCAAACTCCTGGGCTCAAGCGATCCTCCCACTTTAGCCTCATGAGTAGCTACGACTACAGGTATGCACTACCATGCAGGACTAATTTTTCATTTTTTTTTTTTTTTGGTAGACACGGTGGTGGTGGTGGGTCTTGCTATGTTGCCCAGGCTGGTCGCAAACTCCTATCCTCAAGTGATGCTCCCACCTCAGCCTCCCAAAGTGTTGGAATTCCAGGTGTGAGTCACCAAGCAGGCCATGACTTACATTTATTAAACAGGATCACTGGTGTGGTGTACAAGGATGGATTAAATGAGCGAGGTACAATAATGGAAAAAGTGCTACCAGTGAGGAGGTGGTTACAATAATCCAGGTCAGAATGATGGGGGCTTGAAGGCAGGTGATTTGTAGGGGATGGAAAGAGGCATTCAGATGTGGGGTATGTTCTGAATTCAGAATTGACAAGATTTGCTGATGGATTGGTATGGGGCATGAGAGAAAGAGAGGAGCTGTGGGTGACCCTGACATTTTTGGCCTCAGCCATTTAGTGAGTGAGGAACATGAGGAGTAGAGCCTATCTGAGAGGGAAATTGAGTACTTGCTTTCCCTTATGATAAGTTTGAGATTCCAGCAGACATGTCAAGGAGTCCTCTAGGCTGCAGTGTTGGGACTGCAGAGGTTTGGGGAGCTGGACTGGTGGCCGTGGCATCAGGGAGAGACTGCCGCAGTCATCCACAGGAGAGGGATGATGGCTAGGACTACAGAAAAGGAAGGTGGGGCCGAGAATAAAGAGGTGCTGGTGGCAGGGACTGCTGGTACGGCATCCTGGTGTGGCTAGAAGGCAGAACTCTGGGTGTTTTTCTTTGGCCTGGGTGTTAGAGCCCAAGCCAGCTGGCATAGGAAGCACATTAGCTGAAACATGGGGTGTCTTCGGGGACCATTTTTCTTTAAAAAAACATCAATTTCCCATCCACACCAGAAGGCTGTTGCTTTGCCTGGGCCTCCCCAGAGGCTGTGGTGGGAGACAGTGAAACAGCTTCTGGCAGCTCTGCAACCTCCCTCTCCCTCTC